TCAGGTGGCTCCAACAGTCCATCAGAATCTTCTTGCGCCACATTGAAAGAAAGGTGCCTCGACCGTCTGCGACTGTAGAAGTGGCCTTGTCGAGGTTGGTCCGGAAGGCCCCTGCAAGCAGCCGGACCTTCACGCCCTCAAGGTCTTGCATGGTCGCCATGTTGTTGGCGAAACTGACGAATCTGAAGAGTTCTTCCCACGACCACAAGTCTGGTGAGCGGTCCACCACAAACGCAACCTGGCTTACTCTGACTTGCAGTGCGAGCATACCAAGACAAGCCAAACTGCAGTAATAGCATAGCCAAAACAAGACAACTACCAAAGAAATGCACTGGTTGTTCTTCATGTTGCGGTTCCCTTCCCAGGCTGCACTGAGTCTCTCAAGAACTGTGGCGGGTGTACAGCCGGACAACAACGCTACACAAGAGAAGCGGCCTATGAATTTGACCGCCAACGCCAAATCAAGCAGAGCGTGCGAAGAGAATCTCATCGCAAGAGCCGGAAGGTTGCTTAGCAGGGTCGTCCAAGACACGACAAGCTCGACCCATGAAACAACGTGCTGGCTCAGTTGCAAATGGGTCCCTGTGCCCAGCTCAGGCAAGTGTGTGATGTTGTATGTAAGTATAGAAACCAAGATTTAGGATGCACTGTGCAAACGCAACAGCTGACAACACAAATGCTTTCTGATTCTTGTCCGGAGCCAAGTCATTGACCTCGTTGCTCGCGCGGGGCTCGCGACGCTGAGATACTGTCGAGTGCACCCTGTTCCTTGACCCATCTTGCCTCGTGGATGGCCGCGCTCTGGGAGGCCCCTCGCAGCCCAACATACACAAACAGCAGTCCAACGCATCCCAGTCTAACCTGCCATGCGTCCTCGAATCCAAGTGCCGGCATTGACATGTTGAAGTATTGCACGGACCAGGTCACCAGCCCTGCCCCAGACAAAGCCAACACAGGCCCGAGGCGCTGCAGGACAAACCATCTCAGGCGCAAAAGCAGCTGCGCACGAAACTCACCGTGTGTGTTTTGAATCTGGCACCAGAGCAGGCGTAGGCTGGCTCTTTCGGCGGGCACTGCGTCAGCTTGTACTTTCTCCATCGAAACAGATTGAACCCTGGTGCATGGGAACAACTTGGGCCGAGGCAACTCAGGAACCGCAAGCAGCTCGGAGGGCTGTTAGGGCCAGTCCGTTTTGAGCTTCAAGGGCTGATGGCATAGGGTCTGAGAGTCAGTTTCCGGCTCGAGCTATTGCGCCAGCAGGGAGGGTGGATCCAAGGCCTGAAGCAGTTGCGATATGGATTCCTGAAACGGAACCCCCTTGTTTAAAGAGCTCATAACTTGCTGGACGGTTACGCCGATGGAGCTGATGCAGATCATGCGGGAGTCGGATTCTCCCAAAGCCTCGTTGATGACCTGCGGCTGAGGGATTTGGACCTATGGTTCGGTGTAGGCATGGCCCCCAACTGGGCCGGAAGCCCGAGATCCTGAAAACCAAATCTTAAACCGAAGCCCTCGACCGCAAAACACCGGCCTGAACCCAAGATGTGTCCTAAACAAAGTTAAGCATGAACCCCAAACGCCCAACTTAATCCTAAGCACCTCACCTTACGCCGAAACCCAGCCAACTGGAAACCCCCGGAGCGCCCGGTTTTCTCCAAGTAGGGGCCTTAAGACTTAAGAATTAGAATAGGGTTTCGGGGCACATTATGCTATACTTATTTATAAGCAACCCCCCAAAATAGCATCGGAAATTATTTAGGCCCCTGTATTAGGCAGCCCGACAGAGATCCTAAATCCTGAGTAGCTAGATAAGAAAGAAGCCCAAACTAAGGTACCCTAATCCCAAGCAGCACCCGAAACTGTGGACTTCGAACAGCAAACTCAACTCTTGCAACTCGGTGCTTAATTGGTTTGTTTTGAGGCTGTTCTGTTGGGTATAGGGCGTTTTCAAGCTTTTAAGGTCTTTTTGTTGAGCTCCTGCTTCCCGACAAAGGCTGTAGGAATTTGGGGTTTCTGGGATGAACCTGGCCAGGCAGGTGCGGGATGCCAACCCTAGATATGTGGGTCGAAGCGTGTCAAAGACCGCCCCAGGCCATGCAGTCTAGATCCCTAACCTGGCCCCTCATCCTGAACCACGACATCACTGCACCCGCAAACTCCTTCTGCAGTGCTGGAACGCTGCTAGTGTCCTCGCGGCCATAGATCCTAAACTCCGCAACAATCCCAAAAACCGTGAGCCCCTCAGAATCCTCAACCTAAACCGAACCCCGGATTCACACATGTCAGGGCCTTACCAATTGCAGCAGGGTTTTGGCGGGTATGTTTTAGCAAAACTTGAACAAGGACTATACGGAGATAACATCCCTATAATAAACCCGGAGACTCCGGGCGAAGGCAGCACTGGCCAGGCCTTCTGCGACTGGCTGCACACGTCCACGCCCGGCCCCTTGGCCGGGCCCCCCAGACTGACGATCACCTTGGTAAGCTCTTTGAGCTTCGGTTTTGAGCTTCAAAGCCAAGGATTTAAGGTGTTCTTTGAGCTTGAAAGCTGGGGTTTCGGGTTTAGGGTCGACTGACAATCATCTTGGATATCTCTTTGAGCTCCAAAGCTCAGGGCTCGTGGACTTGCGGTGAGGGTTCAGGAAACAAATACGGGGTTGTGGAGGTCCCTGAACCCCTACATCCCAGACACATCTTCATAATTCTGCCATGTTGGAAGATATGGGAGTTTCCGAAAATAGGGGACCCTAATATAGTACCCTAAATAGTAGGATCCTTAGTATAAGGACCCCAGAATAAGGTACCCCTAATTTTCGGAAACTCCCATATGGGATCGGTCGCTTCCGGGGCACTGCATCCACTCCCTTGCAGGTCTCGGCAACGGCAGCCGAATCCGTGGAAGATCCGGAGACAACCTCCATGCTCACAGCTTCGGGCTCGAGGGCTCCGTGTTTAAGGTAGGATGTAAGATCTTAAGCCAAATGGAAGCTTGCTTCCCGAATGTGAGGCAGTCTGCCGAACGACCCACCCCTAGATGACACATTCAGGTTCCTTTGATCATTGCACCGAAGCCGCTCTAGCGATGCTAGACGCCCTGACCGTACCTGGGACATCTTCTGCAGCACAAGGGACGATGGGATTTCAGGTTGAATGATCTGGGCTCCTAAACTTTGCGACTGCTAAACATCACGCAAACAGGCCAGGCCTGAACCCGAAAGCATCCTGGATTTGGAAACTCTCAGTGCGCGCAACGTCCATGGGCCTGAAGCCTTCTACCCCGAGATCAAGCGTCCTAGTAGAGCCCGCAAGCGCCAACCCGGAAATCAAGATCGCGAAACCTAACGCCCAAGCACCGAACGAGGGGTCCGGACTCCGGGCTCAGTTTACCCCTGGACCCCGAAACCCCGAATCCAAACCTTCAAGCCCTACGCCGGCTAAATAAACCCCTAAACTCTCAAGCCCGAACCCCAAACCCCAAAGCCCTAAACCCGGACCTGCACGCCCGTCTGCTCCCGCAGCTCCTGCGGCAACTTCTCTGGGCTGCGGGCCAGGCATCGCACTTCCTGCAAGTAGCGCTGCATGAGTGACTGGCCAAGGGTTTAGGTTTAGGGTTAAGTGTCTCGGGCTTAGGGTTTGAATTTTATTTTTTGGGTCTTGTGGTTTTTGGATTTTGGGTCCTGGGGTGTTAAGTGTAAGGCCTCACTGGACATTTGACATTGGAAGAATGGCATGGACGTCTAAACCTGCGGGAGAAAGGTGGCACTACACCCAAATCTAACCGGGAACCTGCTGGGGCCTTCCAAGCCGCAGGGTTTCCGGCAAATACAGGGGGTTTAGGGTTTAGGGTTTAGGGTTTAGGGTTTAGGGTTTAGGGTTTAGGGTTTAGTCAGTTTAGGGAAGTCCCGAAACCCTAAACCCTTAACTCAAAAAAAGCGCACACCCTAAACCCCAAACCGCCGCCGTTGTCGGGTTGTCCTCGACAGTCCCAGAGCCAAGAAGCCGGCGGAGGATCTCGACGCCGGTCCCTTGGGCGCCAGGTTGCGGAGAAAATCACACCATGGTAAACTACACGACGTTGATTAAACAAAGTTTATGATTTAAGCCATTTAGGGTCTCGGGAAGCCATCACAGAATTACAGAGGTGTTGGATTCAGGCTGGCTTGTTGGAGTATGCTGTACGCTGGCTACAGAAACATTCTGGTAGATGGAGGCAGTTGGAAGTCTACTCCACACAGAAAAATAAAATCAGGGAACTTTTCAAGCTGCTAGATATTGCGCCTTCTCGTCAAGATATGAAGGCATGGATCATTGGAGCCGGGGCTTCAGGTATCTAGTCTGGGTAAACAAAATCGAAGTGCAAAGCCAAGACAACATGATTTCTGATCGTATAGCTACATGTAGCCATGCGAGGAGCGAGTTTGAAGGTTGTCTGCAGCAGTCTGCAAAACCGGAAAGACTGCACAGGCAAGCTTCTGGGATTGCGGCTGGGCTTAAGGTCTAACATACTTCAGCCTGCTGGACACAGAGCATTCGACTGGTGACGGATGACAAACGACTGCTACTACAACCGTTCCTATTACAGAAAACACAAGCTGGAACCGTGGTAGTAGTGACGAGCGGTCGCATCGTCGTATGTGTGTGTGTAGTCGTGACTCATGACTACAAAAAACCACACCCACACAGACACACGCACACACAGAGCAAAACAAGCAATGACCTCGACGGTAGTCCCAGCTCCGAGCCAAAAGCTCTGAACCCTAAACCCAACAGCCCCAAAGCCTACGGACCGGGCGAGGTGCCACCTGTGGCCCCGAACAGTGCAACCTTCATGGCTGGCGTGGAGGAAAGGGCAGCTGAGCGAACACCGACTTTGCTTGAGCCAAGCATCCAGGAGTCGGATAGGATACGTCTTGGAACACTACTCGGACAGTTTGAGGCCTCCGGCTTAAGATAGGTTCTACTGTTCGGGCTCCAGCAGTTAGACCCCCGGACTGTCTGCTCCATGCCCTGGCTCCCATTCCTTGCACAAACAGTTGTTTTCGAACTTTCTCCTCTTGAGGCAACCTTTCAAGGCCTTAGTAGCCTAACCCCTAAAGCCCTAAACCCCCAAGCCCTAAACCCTCAGCCCGAAACGCTCCAGGTCGTCCCGAACCCCGAACTCCCAACCACCTTCGAAGAAGACTCCATGGCCCCTCACGTGCTTAAAGGGACTCCATGGCCCCTAGCCTACTTTGGAGCAACCCTGACGAAACTACGTAGGCCCAAGATCTAAGCCAACAGCACTATGCACCCACGTGGCATCCTAAACTCCTCACTCTGAGAGAAGTGACCATGAGTGCCGCTGCAGCTCCCGAAACCCGCAGAAGCATGCCTGACCACTCCGATGGCGGCCGCTGCGCCATTCCAGAGGCTCTGGAAAAACCCGGGAGCCTCCTCTCTTCGTGGATTCGGGGGTTGAGGGTTTAGGGTTGAGGGTTTGGGGTTGAGGGTAGGGTTTAGAATTAGATTTGTTTTAAATGCAGTGACTCTTTCTCCATACAGCCAGGATTTAGGGTTTAGGGTTTAGGGCTTTTTTGGCCCATAACGGGTAGGGGAGTTCGGACACTGCTCTGGCTTCATGTCGCAGCCTTGTTAGGGTTCCTGTCGGACTGCAGTACGGCTGATGGACAAAATTCTGTATCACCCATAATAAGGAAGATATGGAAATTATGGTATATTCTTTATTATGGGTCATGCAGGATTTTGTCCATCAGCCGTATGACTCCGTTTATAGTCTGATGCAAACTGCAAATCACCGGCAACAGGTAGTGCGGTTCATCAAGTTGGAGCATGCCAAAGTCTTAGATTTCGCGAGGAATTGGGCGTTTTTCGAAGGACGCAGCCAGCCTGGGCCTGGCCTGGGCTTTGGAGAAAAACGAGCCATGTCCCCTGTACTCCGAACCTAAGAGCCCCATGGTGTCTTGCCACATTGCTAGGGAACTTGGACTTGGCAATTGCCCCACCAACCCCAACATGAAAAAATGTGAATGTGCCGAATATCATCACACTGCAATACACCATTCCGACGACGACTACGACGACGAAGAGGACGGCGCAGGCAGAAGGCGAACGACACCCAGCGATCTACCGGCTATGGACCTTACGAGATAGCACACGCTGCCTATGGCGAAGATCCAGCACAGGTCCTCCTCTGCTTGGCTCGCTTGAGCCGGGGCCTGGCAATTTCAGTCCGGATGAGGGGCTCTTGTAAGTGGACTTGTGGTTGTAGGCTGGTAATGTTGGAGAAGGCCTGGCACATGCATCCGCTTAGCCGTCGTGCCAAAATGGTTGAATGTGTGGAGACATGTCGAAGATCACATCAGATTTGCTCGCCGCAGCTGCATAAGGAAATCTCGTGTAAGGATGGGCATGGCAGCACTCCCCGAGCAAACTCGACACCTTAAAATATAACTTAAACCGGAGCAAAATCCTCGGACCTAACCTGGTTTTGGGATTTTGGAGATCGCAGTCTATGGCGGGGACCTGTTTTGACCCAGTGCTCCGCGATGCCGGTGCTTCCTCCTGGAGCAGAAACAGCATGGAATAAAAGACGTTGGGAATTCCGGTGCCATTCTCTACGTTCACTTCTACGGGTAGTCTTGTCAGCGCTAAGAGCGCATGCTATTGTGGTTAACATTTCTCTTCTGCTTGTGCCTTTGGTCCAAGTAAGCTTTCAGCAAGAGACTTCACGGCTATTAAAACACTAATGCAAAATCCTTCGAGTCATTGTGTCTACGCTTTCTTCTGGGTTATATTCGGTTCTATTTGTACAAAAGGCACGCATACAAACTCATACATACCTACCTACATACCTGCGTACATACCTACCTACATACCCACCCACCCACCCACCGACATACCTGCAAAACTACAAGCACAATACGTGCACACTTACAGACAGACAGACAGACAGACAGACAGCCAGCCAGCCAGCCAGCCAGGCACGCAGACAGACAGTTACGTACATACATACGTAACCGCACACACACACACACGCATAAAAAAAGCGTGCATGAATGCATGCATGCATACATACATACATACGTACGTACATACATACATACATACGGACATACAGGACATGCAGTACATGCATTTTGCACATACTATAACATAGTAACACGAGAGAGAGAGCGAGAGCATCCATTCATTTGCATCTGTGCTGTTATGTTCATGCATCTGTTTGCATGTTTCAATATATCTTATATACTGCACCTGTTTGCTTGTCTGTAAGCGTGTATATTACTACTTAGCCATGTGTTTATCCACTTGCTTTTGACTTCTATTCACAGATGCCAATGATAGCTCGAACTTGCTGATTGTCGATGCTCATCCATTCAGCCCTGCACCCCCACCCACAACCCTGACCTCCTTAGTCCCTCCCACCCCTTACCTTGCTCGGACGGTCATGCATGATGCGACCCAGAAACACTCACCCACACCCCTGGAAGTGAAGGTGGTGCCGCCTTTGCATGGATGTTCCGCCTCCGCATGCCGACCCTAAACCCCCAGCTCCGCACTCCGAACTCCGAGCCCCAAACTGCACTGAACCCTAAACCCGGAACCCTGAATATTGGACCTCAAACCCTGCTGGCCTAAACCCAAACCTAAAACTCAACTTTCGAAACCCCGGCCCAAAACCCCCGCAAACTCCACATCCCAAACCACCAAAACCCCCAAAGCTCTACATCCCAAACCCCCAAAACCCCAAACTCCTACATCACACGTGCTTTCGCGGTCCTCTGAGCTGTCGTCGCTCTCCAGGCCCGTAGCGGTCTTCGCTAGGGCACGGGTGCGAACTCGCTTGCCTGGCTTCAGGGGCATCCGGACTGGCGAACCCGAGTAGTATCTAGTTAGGCCCTTAAGGCAACATGGTGTTTAAGTTCAGGCGTGGGTTTTTTGAGTCCAGGGCGTAGGGTCTGAGAGTTTAGGTAGTGGGATCTGTGGCGCTACTTCCAGCTCCACCTAGGCCAGCAAGCGGGAAGTTTGGGCGAAGACTGCATGAGAGAGTCGGCCAACTTGTTGCTTAAGGAACGTCCTCAGCCGTAAACCTTCACAGCAGAAACCGAAATCCTAACTCCAAGAGTGGAATTCTAGTGATCCAAGCTCCTAAACCATGTACTAAGTGATGCCTAAGCCTCATGTCCTCATTCGCGACTGCCTTTTTCAAGCCTGAAACGGCCCAGACGTCTGAAAGACCCGGGATCCGAGAAGATCCGCCTCCTCCACGCGGCCGCGGCCGCCCGCGCCGCGGCGCGCGGCTTGGCGGAGGCCCTGCCTGAACTCCAGAAGAGCAGGGTGAGAATAACTTGCAAGCCCTGCCAAGCCTAAAGCCGAAACTGGAGTGAATGATGATGCAATGATGAGGCGTTGAAAACCTGAGGTTCAGATCGACACCAACATGCGGTTTAGGCCTCGCATAACCCACACGTGTCAACAGAGGCTTGGCCGCACAACGCGTAACCACCTGCTCTTCGCGAATTGAATGTCTAAGATTTGAAGGAATCCCTGAAGGTTCGCGGCGCAGATCCCCTGCATGCCATATGCTAACCACGCCACAGTAGCATGACTTTCACAAGATTATAACACATCACAGTCATAACAAAGCCTTACAAACCCGAAACGCCAATTAAACCCTGAACCCCTAAACCCAAGACCCTTAACCACTAAACCCTTAAACCCTTAAAAGCCCTAAACCCTTACCCACTAAACCCTAAATCTCAATGTCGGCCTCTTGAAAGGCCGCTTTCGCACGCGCCGGGAGCTTCGGCGGCCCTGGGATTTCCGAGGCCGGTAACGGTTCAGGCTTGAGGGCTTAGGGGCACGGTTTAGGGTTTAGGGTTTAGGGTTTAGGGTTTAGGATTTAGGGTTTGGGGTTTAGGGGTGTAAGTTTTAAGGGCTGAGGAGTTGCCTGATTGAGGGGTTGAGGGCTTAGGGTTTAGGGTTTGGTTTAGGGTACAGGGTTTAGGGTTTAGGGCGGCCATATAGTATAGGGGCCTTAGTAACTTTGATCGGGATATATTATAGAAAAGTAATAACAAGGAACCCTAAGGAATAGTACTGGAACATATGCAGGCTTCGGTATCAGGGTGTGGGCTTTGAGGATCTTTGAGGACTTGAGTTTGGGGGCTGTGAGGTGAAAAGCTTATTGGTCTCAAGCATGAAGGATTTGGAGTTTGAGGGTTTAGGGTTTAGGGCTTAGGGGTTTTGCGGGATCAGGTTTTCGGGGTCCTGCGCTTAGGTATGTAGGGGTTTGGGGTCTGGGGCTTTGTTGTGGTTTTGGGCTTAGGTTTTTAGCCAGGCGCCTGCGGTTTAGAAAAGTAGGGTGATGTTTGGCGTTTCGGGTTGGAATCGTCGAGCTCTTACAGTCATGGAAAGGATCTTCCTGCGCCCTGAACCGGCGCCTTGATTGATTCGTGTCTATGTCTATGCAAAGCACCCTCAGCTTCTGAAACTCCCATCAACACGGCTGAGTACCCTTGAGCCCTTGGCTTTCGAATCGGAGCTTCAAGCTCTGGCTTCTGGCTTACGGGGCTTAGAGGGGAGGAGAGCGAGGGCTTGGGTCCAAATCTTGGGGTTCAGGTATCTTCAGAAAAAATCAGCTCCGTGTAATATAGGGGCCTTAACTCTTAGAATATGCTTTGGTGAAACAAAAACTATAACTATAATGAGGAACCCCCAAAATAGTATAGTATAGGTAATTATGAAGGCCCCTATATACACCTCCCGAAACCCAAGCTTCAAAATCCTCGAACCCAAAAAAAACTCAGACGCTCTCGGACGGCAAAAAC